TTTCCTGTCTTTCGGGTTAAGGACGGCTTGAGTAGGCTGTCCATCCACTGCCAAAGATCTCCATGGACCAAGGCCTTCTGAGTACTGGGACGTCCCTCTGCGTCATTCACAGGCTATGTGTTCTACTCAAGAACGTAGTTCTTGCTGCGTTAGGACAGGCCGCTCCTGTGGAATAGAGCTGCAGGTCGGGAGTGGGTATGCAGGTCATGCGTGACTAGACCAGGGGTCCAGTGTAATGAGATGAGACCCCAAACTGGGGAGTCTGGAGAGGAAGCCAGGGTCAGCTGGAAGTGCAAAGGCCAAGGAGGAGCTTTGGGCCCCAGACCACCTTGCGGATGAGGGCTATGAACATCCCTCTCCCGGGATGGTTGTAATTTGCCCTCGGTCACTCGTCTGTCAAGAGGTGGTATTGATACCCAGCAGGCGAGGTCACGCTCCCGTGTTCTGCTGAAGTCTCAGTCTGTGAGCGCCAGCGGGAGAGGATGCTGCCCTGGGGTCCCCGCAGCACTTGAAAGCCCCTCTCGTCCAGACGCTGGTTCCTCTCTGTGCCGGTGAGCCCCAGCATCCCTTTCCCCGCCATCTGCTCCCACAGAGCCTGCAACAGGGTGGGCACGCCCACCGTATGTGGCTGTCCCACAGGGCTGTGCTGTGGGTATCCAGAGGGCAGGCCCCACACTCAGGCGTCCAGTGGTTGGATGAATAAATTCCAAACTGCTTTTCTCCTGCAGGAGCGGGCTGAAGCTGTGTTGTGTACATTGAAGGGTGACCACAGGGTGAACCCGTCCCTAGTGCCTGGCACATACCAGCCGGGGCCAGGCGCTCCTTCCCTGGACTCGGGCAAGTCCTGTTCTACGGAGCACACACAGCATATGATCCTTCAGGGGCCATCAGCCTGTGGGGCAGCTGAGGACGCAGGCCCAACCCACACACTCAGGTCCAACCTCATGGAGGTGTGGGCCCAGGCTCGGGGTCCAGGATGGGACAGCTCAAGTCCCAAGGCTCACAGCCCAGTGCTGTTTCCAGGACATACTGCTGCGTGTTGAATAGTCAAGAATTTCCTGGTAAAACAGATCATGACAAAACAGCTGTGTCCACAGACATCTTGTGTACAGATCCTTCCATGGGCACTGTGAACCCAAGTCAGCAGAAAGACCCGTCTGGTCCAGACGTCCTTGGATGAGTTTGAGGCCACGGCTTTTTGTATAATTTGGCTAAAGGAATGCCTGCCTTTTGGGTTTCCATTTGGAAACAGCTCAAGAAAGGTGCTGCTGAAGACGGGGGATGGGGAGTCTGGACCCAGCTCTCCCGTAGCTGGTTGTGGGGCCCCAGAGAGGGGCGTTCCGCCGGCACCCTCCGAAGCTGGGCAGGACTCGTCCAGGGCACTGTCCAGCTCCAACAGTCTGTGACCTCACCCTGGGTGGGGCCGGAGGCCTTGGGGTGCCCCTGGCAACTGCCCTCCACCACACTGAATGAGGATTTTCCCCTGAAAGCACTCGGTATCTACTTTGCCATCGGTTTCAGTCCCTGCAGAAGCAGGGCTTAGCTCTGGGGTGGGGGGTGGGGGAAGGAGACTGTGCGGGGGCCGTGCAGGGGCCTCTCCACTGGAAAGCAGCCCACGGGGCCCTAGTCCTTGTGTTCAGCCTGTACTTGGAAGCTCTGCAGTCTTGGCTGAGCATTTGCTTTGTTTGAATCAATGACTCAGTCTCTCTCCTCTCCCCACCCCCAACCTTGCCTTTAGAGCAACATCAATATTCATGTATAATTAAAAAACAGCACAAAAAGCTGACTCCCTACTTCCTGCCCCCCAGGACTTTCTCTTCCTTGGCCGGAGTGCAGTCCTGGCTCCTGGGCAAGTCCCCGGGTGGCCACCGGCTCAATGCAGCCCTGTGTGCAGGCCTGGCAGCCCGCTGCACCCAGCCCCCCCCCCGCCCCCCCCGCCCCCCCCCGCGGCCTCCATTGGCTGCCTGTGCCCGCAGCGGGCTGCACCAGCAGGGCCCCACCGCCGGGAAGGGATAAGACACCGCCCCACAGCCGCTCAGGCCACTCTGGACGCGGCCGCCAGGAGGGACGGGAGCAGCTAGCAGGAGCCACTGACGTGAGGACACTCGGGGAGAACCTGCTCTTTTCTTTCTGGGGCAGGGAACCCAGAGGGTGGGGCTGGGAACAAGGTGGTAGCTTCAAAAGCCCCTTTAGGATAACTGGCAGCGTCTGACACGTGTGAATCCTGTTACTGCTTTGTGGACGTGACTGCTCAACTCGAGACAGCTAGAGGGTTTTTCTGCCTGAGTTTTAAACCATAAATCAGAGAAACCTCAGGTCCCGTGGCTCAGAGGTGACTGCTGACATTTCCTCAGCAGGACTAACAAATGTCGCTTCTGCCCTAAGTCTTTGAAGGGTAGGGTTTTCGCTTCCTTGCTGGCGGAGAACGACCGGCCACCAGAACTAGGCCAGCCCTACCTCAAAAATAAATGTTTTCCCTTCTTGTTGCTTCTGTCCTGGGTGTGCATCCGCTTCTCTCTTTTCCCTCAACGGGGAATGTCAGGGTCGGCCTGGACACCAGCCAGAAATTACATGACAGTTGGGAGGTCTTTACAAGTAAATTACAAATGGGGTCAAAGAAATTGGGGGTCTGGTGGGTTTCACTTTCTTCAGTGTTGGGGTTTCTCAGGGAGGTAGGACCCCTTCCCACATCATGTGTGATGTGCCCTTCCACAGGGAGTTAAGGCCCAGAAGCTCTCTCGCTTTCCACATAAAGAGATTAATGCAGGAGCAACATTCACCAAACTAAGTGGAAAGGAAATATGGATATTTGATTGCCATTTCTCTTAAAAGATAAGCTTTAAAGCAGGGAAGAATTTAAAAGGAAAAAAAAAATTAATTAATTTGAGTGTAGTTAAGAAAATCGCATTATATGGAGTTTTCAAACATGGAATAGATGTTTTATGCCTTTCCTTTTAAAAAAATCCCACTAGTCATACCTTATGAAAAAATAATTTAGCCTCTCCTTCCCCCAAATGATCACAGACTTTGAGAAACATCAGAATGACGCAAATGTTTCTTGGGTTCTTTGTTTTGTTTCCAAAAAACAGAATCAACCATTGAAAACCTGGGTGCCAAGGGTAAGAACAAATATGAAAGGTTAAAGATGTTAGTCTATGTGATTTGTCCCGACCACGTGTGACAAATCTGATTTTTAGGGATTTAAGAGCAAAACAAAGGATATTGATTATTAATAGGGTGACTTTAGCAAAAAATCCTCAATGCTTTCTCCTTTGAGAAATCAGAAATAAATAAAATGTTAAATATTTCTTCCAGTTTATTGTTCAGATATAAGTGACGTATCCAACATGGGACCGACTTTTCAACAATTAGATGTAGTTCTTGTAACCATTTTGAGCTGTGACAGTGCAAAGACTCCAGGCCAAAGGTCGGTAGACGTCTCTGGCTGAATGTCTCAGTTTTGTGAAACAGTTGACAAGCCGTCCTTTGTAAAATGTACCCAAATCCCAGGATCCAACATATTTCCTGTTTTCAGGCCCCTGTCTGAGGTTCAGGTGGTGAGGGAAGTAGGAAGTTGTGCACTTTGGTGCCGGCAGAGAGACCCCAGCTCCAGGCCTGCGCCCCCGGTGAACAGGCCCCCTCCCCGAGCCGGAGGCTGTTGGCGGCCCCGCGGGAATGCGACGTGCCTGGCGGCGCTCTGCCTCTTCTTCCTCAGAACCAGCCCAACCCTAGGGCCTGTAATACATTTTTGTTTCTGGTAGGTCTTCTTTGATCTCCCACTGATCCTCTTTTTCAAGAATATCGGCGGCATTTCTGCCATATTTGTTTTTCCGGTTCAGTTTTACAGCTGTTTTTGCTCATGTTGCTCACACCCGTCAAAAAAGATTGCCTTACAAACTTGTATTTAAAATGAGTTAAATTTATATATTATTTCAAAGGAAAGCGAGTTCCTGCATTTTACGATCCTTTTTTTTTTTTTAAAGATTTTATTTATTTATTTGACAGAGAGAGAGACACAGAGAGGGAACACAAGCAGGGGGAGGGGGAGAGGGAGAAGCAGGCTCCCCACTGAGCAGGGAGCCCGATGTGGGGCTCGATCCCAGGACCCTGGGATCATGAGCTGAGCCGAAGGCAGACGCTTAACGGCTAAGCCACCCAGGTGCCCCACATTTTACGATCCTTAGAGTCTTTTGGAAGGACCTGCATTTTTATTATTTTTTTAATGATTTTATTAATTTATTTGAGAGAGAGAGAGAGTGAGCACACACGCACATGAGCAAGTGAGGGGAGAGGCAGAGGGAGAGAGAGAACCCCAAGCAGATTCCCAGGTCGCAGGGGCTCAGCCTGAGGCTCGATCTCACCACCCTGAGATCAGGACCTGAGCCGAAACCAAGAGTTGGACACCTGACCAGCTGCGTCACCCAGGCACCCCAGGACCTGCACTTTTCTTGCTAAACTTATGCTTAAGTAGTATGTGTGTGTTGCTTTATGGATTTATGAATAGGATTTTTCTACTCTGTTTTCTAATTGTTTATTGGTAGAATACAGGGACACTATTGATTTTTGTAGCCTCGTTTTGTTCCGGGTCACCTTACTTCTTTCTAGTTAATTCTAACAGCTCACAGTCAGTGCTTTGCTCCCCTGCACTCTGTCCCTTCATCTTGAGCCTGGTAAGGGCAGAGGGTAGCCTCCTGGGGAGGAAGCAGGAATCGGCCCCCAGAGCCCCTCCCTGCGTTGCCCCTGTCTTTCTGCTGAAGTTCCCCATTGGCCAAACCACGCAGAAGCCAGGGGGCGTGGGAACCGAAGGATGTGGCCACAGGGACGAAGAAGGGAGGGGCGGGCGGGAGCGGATCCAAGAGGCTGCTAGGAGAATTGGGACAGAGGCCCTCTGCCTGAGGGGGATGAGCCAAGGCCGGTCTAGCCCCCTCCCCTGGGTGGAGGTCTGTGCACAAACAAGGCAAAAAACATGAGAGGGCATCTTTCCTTTGTGAACCCCTAGGATGTCTGAGCTGGAGAAGGCCATGGTGGCCCTCATTGATGTTTTCCATCAGTATTCCGGAAGGGAGGGTGACAAGCACAAGCTGAAGAAATCGGAACTCAAGGAGCTCATCAACAATGAGCTCTCCCATTTTTTAGAGGTGAGTCTTGATTTTTAAAATCGACAGTTATCCATTCTCCTGTCCACTTATAAAACCACCTGTCCATTTTCTCTTCTGAGCTGCGCTGAAGGTGATTCCAGTGTAGGCTGCTTCTAAAAACGTGTTTGTGCAACTGAACCCTCACTTTAGAGGCTAGCTCAGATGGCCCCACTGTTCTCATTTTCACCTGTTTTGTGTATAGTTGGAACAGCTAGGAAAAACTGCTGTGTCAAAGGCAAAAGAACAGGTTCCAAATAATGCTGACTTTTCTCTGAAAAATCTAAGGATTTACAGCAGTAATGATGGCGGAATGGGATGGAAAATATACTCATGACTCACCACGGGCCACAATGAACACACGAGAAAGATGTTAAACATAAGGTCTTGACTTGGGGAGAGGGACTATTTTCACTTTAGCTGCATGATCAGCATCCACCGGGGTGACTAAAGACGCCATTCACTCAGCAAGTGTTTACTGAGGACGCCCTGTGTTCACTATCGGGAGAGACACAGGCCCTGCTTCTGGGGCACCCAGCCCGGCGCATCAATCCCGGCCGCAGCCTACGTGCTGAGGGCGCAAGAGCGGAGGCCCGGAGGGTTTTAGGGGGCGCCCAGGGAGCAAGAGCCCCTAATGTAGGAGGCTGCATGAGGGGCCCTGATAAGCCTGTGGGGGCGTATGTCCACGACTCACTTCCCTGCCCGTCTCCACCGCCCTCAGGTCGGCCACCGTCTCCACTGCACACCAGTCCCGTGCCCTTGAGGCGATGAACCACATCCACCTGGCCCCTGGCCCTCCCTTGAGTGCCCAGAGCCCAGGTCACACACAGGAAACGGCCAGACGACCAACCAGGGCGCCAAGATCTGACCAAGTGCTAATTCCGGGGTCGGTGGCAGGGCACCGGGCGTGTGGCCCCGCCGCCCGGTGACAAGGCGCCGCCCTCCTGAGCCCGCTGAGCTCACTGTGGCGCCCCAGGTTCCAGCAGCAAGGCAGGGCCCGCCGTCTGCAGGGCTGGCTGGGATTCTCCTGTGCGCACCCTGACCCGAACTCGCCGTCGCAGTGAGGGGCACCACCAAACCCGAGGACTTGCCTGCAGGCTTGGGGGGATGGGCGTCTCTTGGGCTGATTCTGGGATTTTCTCAGGCATTTTCAAGTTCAAGTGCCACGGTCCCACCTGCCCACTCAGTTTCCCACCAATCCCAGCTTCTAACCTAACAACCCAAACTCCCGGTTTCGTCTGTAGATGAGGGTTGTTCTAAGGGTGAAATGAGACAGTGTTTGAACCTATAGTGAGAGCTCAACAAGCAGTTATCAATAATTAATAGTTATAAAATTATTATAATATAAATTGTGTAAAATAATAGTTATTAATTATTGATTTTAAAACAGGAAAAGCTTAGCGTGTGGGAACCACAATTTGTAAAAGACAAATAATTCATAGTAAATGTATCAAGATATCGTCAACATTTGCTGGCCTGGTTTTATCAGAGTAATTTTGGTTTGGAGGCAAATCCATAATGTAATCGAAACACCGCACTTCCTGTCCCTCTTCGGCAGATGCTTCCGGGTCCCGCCCAACCCCCACTGGAATCAATCCTGCGTATATTCCACATTCAAGGCGGCTCGTGGACCTTACCCCTGGCTGCTCGGGGCCGAGCTCTCCTGCTCCGGGGACTGGCAATTCTGAGCAGTCTGCTCTTACGCTGTCCTTGGGTGTTTGGTGCCACGTTCTTCCCACCGCACCTGCAGCCCTGCCCTGTGCCTGCCCCTCTGGGCCCTGTAACCCCGTTCTTTCGGGGCAGCAGAACCAGCAGGAAAGTCCCATGACACCCAGAAAGCAACGGAAGGGGCAAAGAGAGCACAGGACTTAACAAATTTAGGACCTGTTGCCAAGAGTCATTCCAGGAAAAAAACAACTTTCAAAACATGGAAACCCACTGAAAGCCTTCACTCTAAGGACTTCCACTCCCAGAAGCAGTGGAACACTTAGGGGGAACCAAAAGTTCATGTTTTCTTCCAGGACATTTGCTTATACCACGCTCAGGCGTACGTAGACTGCATTTCCCCTTCCCGGGTGTTTTTGTTGTAAGTACAGTGATAGCAAAGCTGCGGTTTTTCAGATCCTGGTTGTTCCATTCAGTCTTTTTCAAGTAGCTCGGGTCCCATGGGACCTACAGGTGGAAGAGACAGCGCAGACCCCCGGAGACTTCTGCCCAGCCAAGAGTCCCCGGTCACACGAAAAACCTTTCTGGTATTTTGCATTTTATATCTTAAGTTGCTTCTGATACAAATTACGAAAGCCAGCCCACTATTAATCATGTTTTGATGGCCCTACATTCCATTTAAAAACAAGCTAGGCAATTTCTCTTCTATCTCTTAGGAAATCAAAGAGCAGGAGGTCGTGGATAAAGTCATGGAAACTCTGGACAGTGATGGAGACGGCGAATGTGACTTCCAGGAATTTATGGCCTTCGTTGCCATGGTTACCACCGCCTGCCATGAGTTCTTTGAACACGAGTGAGGCAGCAGGAGCAGCTACTGTGTTCAGTGGCTGTTGAGGGTCACACAAGCAGAGAGCAAGGGCTTGCAGGCTAGTAGGAGCTGAGCTTTCCAGCCATGTTGTAGCTAATTAGGAAGCTTGATTTGCTTTGTCAATGAAAAATCGATGACCTCTTTCCCGGGTCTGATTTCAACGGCCCCCACCATTCTTTCTGCTCTGTTAGCTGACGGTCCGCGGGACTCTTGTAATAACCATTAAGGAGAGCGTGTGCTCAACCCGCAGTCATGGCTGTGGAGAATCCTCACCCAGAACAACCAAACTGACACCAAAAATGGCTCTGAACATTTGTGGTTCCTTAAGTCAAAAATACAAAGCTTTGCCCACCATCCTTTGAAAGGCTGCCCTTCCTTAAATTGGTTTATCATCCGTGCAAATGAAACCTAGGGTCGTGAGGTAGTCTGACATGCCACTGGCTACCCAGAGAGTGCGGTCACGCTCCGGTCCCTTTCTCCGTGGTGAGCTGTGGGTGCTGGGCAGACATCCCTTGCTCACAGTGCTACAGGAAGAATGTGTCTCACGAACCATCAAGTACTGACATTTTAATTCTAACCAGGACTGAGGATCAAAATTCCACATTCTGTGGGACTCTTCTGCTCGGGTCTCACCTTGCTGGCTGTGTGGCCTGGGGGGGGCATGGTCCCATTCCCGTGGCCTCCTCTGCCGTCTGGGAAGTGCCCTGACCCTCATGCGTTTGTGTTGAGACGGGGCCTGCCCACGGCTGTTGGTGAAGTCAGTGTACGTGGAAAGCTGAACTATGTGCTTTGGTATCCATGAATTCAGATAAATCAAATTTCAAATAATTCAAATAATCAACTTATAAATATTAACAGTTACTTCCCAGAAAATTCAAATTAGCCTTATCTACCCCCTTTTTCTGCTGTTTTTAAGTGCACAGATTTGGAAATTCATAAGCCAATTGATTGCTTATATTTGCATTAAATAAAAAGAGTACTATAACAAGTCTCCGCAGCCGTTAAACATGAAACAGAAGTGAAACACCTGCCGAACTGGAAGGAGGAGGAAAGTGATGGCCTGGCTTCATCACCACGCACGTGTGGCCTTCCCCAAAGCCAGGGCTGGTGCACAAGGCAAGGGACCCTTGGACAGGGGTGGGGTGAGCAGGGTGGGGTGTGAAGGGACAAGCATAGATGGGGCAGCGTGCAGAGGGGTGTGGGGGCGGGGGTGGAGGTGGGGGTGGGGGGGGTGATGTTAGCACATGGTTCTTTCAGGCCTTCAATGGGGACTAGGAAGCCTGGGTTCACAATTTGTTTCTACCAGGGGGAGAGGCAGGGAGGCAGGGGTAAGGAGGGTGGGTGTGAGGAGGAGGAGGTGGGGGTGTGAAGGGGGTGAGGCAGGTGAGGTGGGGGGGTGAGGAAGGCAGCTGAGGGGCAGGGCAGCACCAGGTGGGACAACCACTGGCCACAGGCTTCTGCCCCAGACTTCCTGCCTGGTTGGCGCCAGGCGGCCTCCCCTGGACTAATCACGGGGAGGGGGCTGTGATGGGTCATGTGCCCGCAGTGACTGGGCAACTGGGCGGGCTGGAGAGGGTCTGAGACACGTGTGGCTGCCCAGGCATTTGGGGCTGGGGACTGAAGCCAGCACCTAGGAGCCATCTCCAGGGACCACGCCCCCAGCTGGCGTGCCCACCACCCACGGCAGGGCCCCGTCTCAGTGCAGGCATCCGGGAGGGTCCTTTGGGCTCCAGCAGGTTTGCTCCCCATGTGGCCAGTGGCACCTGCTTGTCCCACTGTCCTGGCCTCACCGAGCCTTGCAAGATGTCCTTGAAAATAAACCAGCATAAGGGGTCTTTTTGGGATTGGCAGAGGAATTGCAATCAGGGACATGCCAGTTATGACAAAACTGTGGGCAGGTCCTGAGGACACAGCAGAGGGAGGGGCCGCTGTGAAGGAGAGTCCGCTGCTGCAGCCCATCCCGGTCCTTGGGCAGGGGCGGGGACAGTGGGGGTGGGGAATGCAGGAGGAGGTGTGGGAGGCCCGGAGGGTCCCGCACAGCTGTCCCGCTCAGCCTGGGGCTGGCGTGCGCCTTGCACAAAGGGGTCAGCGAGCGCAGGGAGGAGGGCGGTGGGGCGGCTCTGGGGTGAGCAGCCCACGTTGCCGCCCCTTCTCTCCATTCATCACGGAAGGACAGTCCCACTGCTCTAGCCAGAGGCGGAGTGAGTCCCCGACATTCATTCCCTCGCCCGCTTCGATCCAAGAATCTCAAGGTGACTCCATTCCCAGATGTCCCCGAGCTTCCAGGCCAGACAGGAGCCAACTGGAGTGGCCCGGCCCCCGGCGAGCCTGCCGTGGCAGCCGCGGAGTGTGCCCCCGGACCCCACATCCAGGGGGTGCCCCTTCACCCCAAGGAGGGAGGCTCTCCTCAGCATGCCTGCACAACCACCTCCGGAGATCCTGGGGGCCTCCTCGGACCAACCACCACGCTCCCTGGTTGTAAAATGCCCGTCGTCCTCCCCTGACCTCCGCTCAGGGTGACCTGTCTTCCCCCGCAGGCTGCGGCTAGTTCCGTGAACGGGTACTTATGGTCCCCACACAGCCCCTGGCGGGCCGCGCGGGGTCTGGCCGCCCAGAAGCTGCCCCAGGCACCCCCAGGTGGGCAGGGGCGTGCGGGCCCAAGGCAGGCTGTTGGGAGGAATGACCCATCTAGGAGGGAAAATCGGCTCCTGACTTCAGCCGGGAGCAAAGACCGCTCACCTGGGGCCTCAAGGGTGGGAACTCTGCACCTTGAGTGACCTCCGTCCTCTCAGGTTGCTTTTCACAAGGCCCAGTGCAGCCACATGCGATTTCCCCTGCCCCATCGGTTCACCGGCTTGATCCACAGTGGCCCAGAGAGTCTGTCTCGGAAGGGCCGAGACCCTGGGGCCAAGCCTGGGACCATATTTGTGACGAGTGCTGTCGAGAGTCTGGGGCCTCCTGGGGACCTCTCCTCCACCCTCTGGACCTCCAGCCCCCCAGTGGGCCCCGCTGCCCCGGCCCACGGGCCCGGCGAGACCATCACCAGACTTCCCTGTGGTGGAGAGGAGGAATCCTCAGCTCATGGGCTTGGGGGCTGGCCGGCAGGCACAACAGCCATGGAAGGCCACTGAGTTCCTGAGCCCTGGCCCTGCCGAGGGGACGGTGCAGTGGGGTGCGGGGCAGAGCCGAGGCCGAGGCTGAGGCGGGGACCTCCCCAAGAACAAAGCTTTTCTGAAGGCCCCCCGCCTCCAGGGCCCCTCATGTAACATGGAGGTTCCTGGAATACCTGTCACACGGGTGGAATTTTCCCCTCTGTGAGAGGCTGGGGGTGGGCGGTGGGGGGGAAGTGCTGTCTGTGCAGACCCCCCCAGCACAAATCCCCCCACCGGGAGCTTGTTAGATACCCAGCCACCTGGCCGCCCAGATCTGGGCCGGGCCGGGGAGGGCGGTGGCTGTTGGGAGGCTGCGTGAACAAGAATGTAGTGATTCTTATCCTCGGAGAAGTTAGGAAAGACCAGATTCGTAAAGCAGCACTATCAGCCTAGATCCTTCTAGAATTGTGCCGCCTTCCCTGAACGGTGGGCGTCCCAGGAGCTGACAAGGATGGGGGAGACCTCAGCATCCCCAATATTTGAGGATCCAGAGCTGGGAGCTCATAGAAGCCAGGCCCCCAGACTGCAGCTGCCTCGTTTAGGAAAGGCTGTTGGATGGTGTGTGGATATAACCCGACGCGGCCCCCACCTCCTCTCCTGGTGGCCACACCTTGTGTGATACCCTGATGAACGTTCCTGATCTTAGGGGGAGGCATCCAGTCTTTCACCATTAAGCAAGATGCTAGCTGGGGCTTATAGGTGCGGTGAAGTAACTTCTACCCCAGGAGTGTTGGATTTTGCCAGGTGTTCTTCTACAATAGGAATGATCATGTGGTTTTGTTTTTCATTCTATTGATACAGTAGATTACCTTGATTGAGTCTCAGATGTTAAGCCTACTTTGCGTTCCTGGGATAAATCCCACGCGGTTATGGTATATGTATCTTTTTGTATGTTGATGGATTTTCTTTGCCTTTTTTTTTTAAGGATTTTTCTGTCCATGTTTGTAAGAGACATTGACCTTTTGTTTTCCAGTCTTTGTAATGTCTTTGGTTTTGGTATCAGGTAATATTGGCCTCTTCTATTCCTAGGAAGATTTTGTGAAGAACTGGTATTAAAATGTCTTTAGATGTTTGGTAGATTTCAGTGGTGAAGACATCTGGGTGGGTAGTTTTTAAATTATTCTTTATCTTTACTTGCTACAGGTCTGTTCAGATTGTCCCTTTCCTCTTGAGTCAGGTTTTGTAATTTGTGTCTTCCTAGGAATTTGTCCTCTCATCTAGTTTATTGGCATACCAGTATTGATAGCATTCCTTTAGAATATTGCTTATTTCTGTAAGGTTGGTAGTAATGTCCTCTCTTTTATTATGATTCTAGTAACTTGAGTCTTTTATTTTTTTCTCGATCAACCTAAAGTTTTGTCAGTTTTGAAAGAACCAGTTGTTTCATTGATTTTCTCTGTTACTTGTTTATTATTATTGTTAAAGATTTTATTTATTTGAAAGCGAGAGAGAGCAAGAGAGAGCATGAGCAGGAGGTGGGGAGAGGGAGGAGCAAGCTCCCTACCAAGTAGGGAGCCTGACGTGGGGCTCAATCCCAGGACCTGAGCCAAAGGCAGATGCTTAACCAACTAAGCTGCCCAGGTGCCCCACCTGTTGCTTGTTTATTAATTTCTACTTTTATTATTTCCTTTCTTCTTCTTGCTTTAGGGTTAGTTTGCTCTTCTTTTTGCAGTGTCTTTAGGTAGAAAGTTAGGTTATTGATTTGAGATCTTCTTTCTTAATAGAGCATCCATAGCTATAAATTTGCCTCTAAGCACTGCTTTAGCTGCATTGATATGTTGTTCTCGTTTCCATTCATCTCAAAGTATTTTATTTCCCTTTTGATTTCTTCTTTGATCCATTGGTTATTTAGGGATGTGTTGCTCAACTTCCACACATTTGTCAGTTTCTCAATTTTTTCCCTGCTGATTGCTAATTTTATTCCACTGTGGTTGAAGATCATA